AACATCAGGGGTCGCCAACGGACACGCTGGGATGAGGAAGGGTGTACATTATAGGGAGCCGCGGGCAAAACGGATGCACGACAAGAAACACGCAAGCATCCAACATCATCGCAGGCAGAGCAAAAGAGGCAGCAAGAGGGGCGCGATTTTTGGAAAGGACAAGACACATGACATACCTTGTCAACACGGTTTAGGTGTCCGCCAAGGTTTTGTAGCCAGCGTAGTCATCAAGACCATCGCTTTTCTCGCTCGGAGACGAAGAACATCCCCGTCTCCATCTTTAGTTTACCCTCCACCCCCATCCGCCCCTGGGTCACCTCCTCCACCTCCTGCCCCCTCGTCCGCGAACAAGCACGGCTTGAGGTAGCGCTTAGCATCTTCCTGACGATCAATACTCTCGGTGGAGAGGATCGGCCTAACGTATTCCAAGCCGAACCGCATAAAGCTCTCCTAGGACCTGAGACACGAAACAAAGAACAAATAGCATTCCATGTGAACGTCAGTTTGTTTGACGTCACGGGTTCATACATAAATAGCTTGCGACAAACCACCAGCACGTCGACTGCCTAGAAGCAACTTCAGGGGACGCTGAAAATGTGGGAAAATGATTTAAAAGGTTGGAAACGCGTCGGGAACAAAATAAACGAGAGTGTTGGACGTTCGGCAGAGCTTGCACGTCCAATGAGCGCTTATCGGCCTGACAAATTGCCGACAGTACACCAGGGGAGATAGGGATAGAAGAAAACGCTAAAGACAACAAAAACCCTCAGCCCCATAGAGCTTAGTTCGCATATCAACAAAGGCAACGTACATGTCGCTGATGACGTCCAAGTTTTTTCACGGCCGCCGCCCTTCGCAGCAAACGCCTTTTCGAAAAAAGCCTCGCACACGGAGAAGGTACGGCAAAACCGTCGTGGTCGGGGTCGCTCTTGTTACCGAAGTGTAGCCTGTAGTGCCCATCCTCGTCTTGATATCCGTGAGGACGTACTGCTCGAGCACCTTCGAACGATGCCAATCCATACCGTGAGGGAGGGGGGAGTGGTGCTGAGCGGGCAAGGGGCTGGATTGATGGATATACCAGAGCAAGGGTGACAGTAGATGGTCTGGAATTTGCGCCGGAAACAGCAAGCAGGAGGGCGAACTGGACATCAGCTATCCTCGCTGTAAAAATGTGCATAGGGATTAATAAGCTCAAGCGTCATAACCACAGGAAAGCGGCGCTAACATTTCAAGGACAATAACTCTTCGTCCCCGGCGCTGTTGCTTGGCATCATGAGATGTTGGCTAATTGCACACTATCGGTTCACCTTGCGACGTCCCTCTGTCGCGCACCATAGACTAACGCTACAACATGTGAGACCCTCAAACCAACAGCAGTACCGGTGCGCGTGCGTCAAAATTCTCTACTCCTTCCACAAGCAATGCATCGCGAGGAATAGCTGCCTGCAGGTCCCCCCGTTCCTTCCTTCTATTGTATGCATACGCTTTGGTTGAGTCTCATAAATGAACGAATGAACAGCTCTCGAAAGAAGGTATTCCATCGTTCCCTCCGTTCAAATTCAAATAGGAGCGATTTACTCAAAACTTGCGTGGAGCTATGCGGGAGTGATCGACGATGTTATGCACGACTCTGACAGCAGGTGCCGTAGCAGACCTTCATCGGTTCTCGGTGGACAGAGCTGTCGCGGGTCGGACATGAACTTTCCATCATACTCTGTTTTTCAAATCACTGGGCACCATTTCTGAACAAAATCTCGCATTTACTCCGGAGAGTTCACTTAACCCGACCGTACCTGAGCTATGGGGTGGTGCGCTTGCATCGGTGGACCTGATTAAAGGTCAAGCTCTGCCTGGCCTCTTCCTCTGACACGGGAATGCCGTGGTTGGCTGTCCCTAGAACGTTCGAGAACATGACGGTACAAGCCCACTCATGGCGGTATCCGCCTACATAGAACGATAGAAGGGGGGGGGGGGGAGAGAGTGGGTGAGACGCAATATATGAAGACGCACATGCATATCCCTTCGCTCTGCTATGCATACTACTGGTGACCTCTTCGGTTCGCATCAGTGGCGCGGCATGGGGGGACCCGTTGCGACCGCCTTTTCTCAGGTGTTGTTGTTGTTGTCTTGACATCGAAAGAAAAAAACTTTCCGATCTCTGACACGCCATATTTCTCAGGAGTTTACTCGGTATTCTGTATTTTACGGCCACTAATGTTTTCAAAGGGGTACATCGAAATCCCGGATGAAAAAGAAAGAGAAAAAAAGGGTGGTGGGAAGAAAAAATATGGCGCAGAGGAGAATCGAATCCACTGATCTCACAGCACAGCAGTTGCATAAGTACCACGCCCCCTGGACCAATTTCCAAAGCCTGATTATTCCACACCAGAAGGAGTGGCGAGGCCGGAAATGGCTGCATTGGAACTGTCTCGTGGAGAGCTTTTCGAAAAAGTATTGTTTGATTTTCGGAATCGTCTTCGTCGTGGAACATGATAGGTTGAAACTTGGTCAAGGGGGTGTGGTATCTTGTGCAACCAACGGTTACCGTTAATTCTTGCTTTGAACACGATTATTTTGCATGCGTGGGAACGACCTGTGTCAATCGAGCAACCCATGTAAAACAATTGGTGTTATGAGCGCTGGGCGTTGGTTGAACCATGTGGACGGTCGACGCGGTCGATGCTATGCATGTGTGTGGACAGGTCAGATACAGCAGAAATGCGGTGTTGTTACTCTGTTTCGTACGTGCTGTTGAAGAAAACGAGCGCCACCCAAAAAACAAAAAAACCGTTGAAAAGGACGAAGTGCCTACCCGCCCTCCAAAAAACTCTTTTATGAGGCTGGGCGCTTACTGACGCCTCCGGGATAATCCCCGCTCTGTACATGGTGAGGAAGAGCCGCATACACGCAGTTGGTCGAGAGCCGTTGGGTGTGCAGGACCAACTGCTGGTGCCTGAGCGTACTTGCATCTACAGCACGTGGAGACTTCGCGCCCTTCCCAACGGGGACATATGCAGGGATACACAACTACACAACACACAATATTCCCTCAATTCATCCTTCCTTTGCTGCCATCCAGATGTAACTGGAGGGGAATCGCTTACCTAGTCAGCAACTGCTGCCGGAATGTCGCTCTCTCTTCTCCACGCGCGCCGTGTAGAAGCTCGTCTTGCCGCTCTACAGCAGCAGTGTCGTGCGGCGGGTTTAGCTCGCGGTGGTTGCTGTGCCCCGAGTCCGAGCATCTAGAGATAGCATAGCTGTTTGCCTTGGTTACGAAAGGAATGACACCAGCTTAGTCGCTATTCGTCTTGGCATGCTGCGGCCTCTGGTCGTCTGTGTCAAGGCTAACTAGATCGTCACGCGTGGGCGATGCAGGGCCAAACAAAACCATGCAAACAATTGGGGGCTTGATGGTTCGGATGCCCCCCAACCCCGTCTTCCCATCTGTCTGGCGATCCAAAAACGATATCTGAGAGCTTGTTGTACCCTGCACCATGTAGCTGGTACACACAGAGCACTCGTGAATTCCCGCACACACTCACACAAAAGCCCAAATTTAATAGTGTATGCGTTCATTTAGTACACATTGTGCCAACGTATCCTGGGCTCTTATACCTACATACTGTATCTGCCGGAAAAAAAAAGAAATTAATTGTTAATTGTAGTACTCTGACGCCAGTTTTCCCGGACCGTCGAACCGACACCACAATCTACAGCCAGGAGGTCTGCCCTTCGGTTGTGACTGCCTCCCAACCTGTAACATCGGTGCTTTCACAACCAGGAGGTCTGGCCTAAGGTTGTGGCTGCCCCCCAACCTGTGTGATCGGTGCTTGCACAACTAAGTGGTATGGCCTAAGGTTGTGGCTGCCCTCCAACCTTCCGCATCCGTCCTTGTACAACCAAGCCGTTTGGCCAAGGTTGGGGCCTCCTCCCAACCCCCCTCTACAACCTGCCCCTACCTTGTGGATGCCCACAACCCACCCACAACCTGCTCTCTGGCCACCCGTGCGAGGGACGACACACAACACATGTTTCCCAAGTACATAGAGGGGACGCAGCAGCGCACAGGACGGCATCGACTGCTGTGTTACATCCTTTTCTAACAGAGCAGTAGGTCTTACGGGGGGAGGTGTATCATGAACCAACTCGACAGCGGGTTGATTATTGGTGCACGCCTACAGGTTGGTAATGCTGCTGTCAACGAGATTTTGAGAGTATACTGTCAAGACGCCGCCAGATGGCCAACTTTCGGCTTCGCAGGCCCCATGACAGGCGAAAGGCACACACCTGCAAGGGATGAGGCCATCGCACTTTTTTTTTCTTTTGCCCGCACTCACAGCAGCACGCTTCCCGCTCGCTGGCCTGGGGTCCATTCCTCCCTCTATCACCCGATAGAGCTGGTTGCCTCGGCGTGATGCCCCGGGTACTGTTCGTATGTGGCGGCGTGTTGCAGAACAACAATCACAAAACCGACCGTGGAAAAAGACCAGCAGAAGGACGGCGTTTACTCAATGGCGGCAGGCGAGCAGAGACGTTGTCGATGCCTAGATGTCACCTTGCGAACCACCCTGTCATCGTAGGTATGATCTGCGGCCTCCTCCTGCCGCTGAACCTCTACAGGCGGCTTTTTTCGTTGCGGAGTTTCTCAGAGAAACAATCCCGCTCGATACGCCTGCTGTCTTTTTTTGTTCGAATCGGAATACGTCCCCGCTCCTCCCTCCCTCACCTTCCCTGGCAAGACACAACCTCTGGAAATAGGGTAGTGGGAATGCTGCTCTAGTGTCTGTGGATTGATGACGGTGATTCCATGCATCTGCCCTTGTGACTGCTGTGCCGGCTGCGGAGGTATTTTGTATGATGAGTTGATGAGACCGGAGCTTTCTCTGAAAGAAAGACTTCTCAGCACCGATATCGATCCTCTACTTTTTGCCCCCCTTTGTTCAGTGCCAAAATTGCCAAAAGTGGCCCACAGCAGCAAGCACACTCTGCTCACGAGGTTGATGATATGTATGGAGGATGAGAGTATGTATGATGGTGTGACCGTGTGCCCGCCAGCCGCCGTCGGTGATTCGTGGAACGTCAGCAGTTCATCCGCGCGAACTTCGCCCCATCCCTGTACGTTGCGGTTTGCGGGCCCCATTCCAGCCACTTCAACTCTCAACCGCTTGAGGAGGAACTCGGTTGTCGGTAAGACGGGGCAGGGGCGAGCAAGGGAGAGGGGAGAGGAGAGTGGGAGACGCAGAGGTGGAACCACGGAAGGTGAGGATTACTTGCAGCTTATTGCGGTGCTGCTACAGCAGTAGTGTGTTTTGGTTTCCTTGTTTCCTTGGGCGATGAGCACGCGGTACAAGTTGTCGTGGTCTCGCCTCATACGGCGGTAATGTAGCTCGGTGCCTCAGCGCCTGCCGACGCGGCGCCATGAATCAGGTTGAAGTTGTGAGCCCCTGCTTGTTATTCACACGATTTTGGAGGTGCGGTTGTTGCCAAGAGTATTCTAGCGTCAATCTTGCCCAATTCTGGCAGGCAATTTGCTAGTAAGAACCCAGTGAGAGAGAGGTTGTTACAGCAGTAGCAAGTCCAGCCAAATCGCATCCGCTCATTGAGAGAGGCTGTACAGTTCCGAGGGAAGAAGGCTCACTTGGTTTTAAGACAGAAATGTGTCTCCCAAGAGCATGGGGGACACTTTCGATACTGCAGACAAGTCAGCACAAGCCAGCAAATTTTCCGGTTCTCGGCTATGCAGACTTTTACCGACATGGGGACAAGCAAGTCAGAGGCCGAGGAGAGGCATCCCACAGCAGTATCTCACACAGCGTACCACCCTACCCAAGCATGGTAGATTTTCAACGCGCCGTTCACACAGCGGAGCATAGTGACGACAATGGTGTGGCAAACAGGCATTTTAGTGCTAAGGTCCCAGAGTGTCCCCATTTGGACGTCCAGTACTAAAAGGCTTGATCCCCGTGGTTGGACAGCTCCTCTGAGGTGTTTTGTCTCTTTGCATTTTTTTGCATCAAGAAGTATCACAACTACTGTAAACCGCCTGTACCCACAGATGAGAGTCCAGCACAAGTTAGCGAAGAACCCATACGAATGGCGGGACACTACCAGATTTTCTACGGTTGCCCGAGCAACACAGCGACTCTTCCCTGTGGGTATGCATGGTAGGCTCTACAAGACAGTTTGGTGGCCATGTAAAGCACTGACTGTATTTTTTCTCTGGGGGTGTTCTGTACGTTGCACCTTTGGAAGAATAAATCACATGCGGTAGCATCTTACCCCCTTGTTTCTATGTTGATCCTTGATTGGCGGTGTTTCTTTGTGGCATCGAGGTTGAACCACATTTTCTGTGAGTGTCAGCAGGCGTGCGATGGCAGGTGTACACGAACAGCTTGTGCAACTTGTACTGAAGGTCACGTATCAAACCCAGTGTAGCACATACCTGTGGTATTGGGATGATACCATGTGCTAGTCACGCGAATTAGCAGCAAGGAGCAGAGCAGCAGCACCTCTCTACAGCTGCGACCCGTCCTCCTCAAGTCCAATCGGAGATGTCTACAATATTAGCACCAGCGGCTGAATCCGAAAAGCCGGCTGCTGGGCAAACCAAGAGAGGTGCTAGGGTAGTTCAAACACCATGGCTGCTTGCTGGTATCTGCTCCATCAAGCTGCCTTTTTCCGGCACACTTGGCTGGCTCTCCGAAGTCTTTTTCTTCTTTTCTGACGGCGTGTCGGAATGTAGATCGTTCCCACCTGTGCAGGGTAAGGTGGGCAGGAAAATGAAAAATTTGATGTTGAAAACCCCTTTGGTCAAAAGTAGTTGCCATTTTGTTTCTCACGGACCCTTGCCGTGCATAGCGGACATGAACTCTACCATATTTTGGGTTTTTCCTCAAAAAGATAAGACATGCAAAGCTTACGCTCCCCCTCGGGAGATTGGCGTCTTGCCTCCTGCGGGCGACGCTAGAGGGCATGACCACTGCTCCTCTGCTTTATTGTCATTGTACGAGGTATTTGCACCTATTGCTTTGCCGTTGGTGGCGCGGGTGTGGTTCAGACCTGCGCAGGATGCATGCCCCAATCTTGGACAAACGTGGACTATCGTTACCCTGGTTGACGCTTTCCTTGAGGAAATGCTGTGGGTATTGATTATCACAGTGACTATTCAGGCCTGGTTCTGTCGACAAACCGGCGTCCAGCTTTAAGCACTCCCAAGGTGTTCTTTTCTATTGGTGGTGGCCATTCGTTCGTGCTGTCCCTCTCGACCGGTCAAGACCACTTCATTCATTCTTAGCGATTTGCGGGTATTTTCACAGACCTGGTTCTGTCAGTAAATGAGCTTCCCGCTATTGAAACTCCAAGGTGCTGTTTTCTTGTTGATGGTGGCCATTCGTTCGTGCCGTCCGTCTTCACCGGTCAAGATCACTTCATTCACGCTTAGCGACATACACAAAGACTCTCTAACATTCGTGCCCCCCTCTTCTCGTTATGCTTTCCTTTGGAATTTTCTGCATTCGAGTGACAAAACACAACGGCATGGATGGAGACGAGGGTTCGGGGTCCGCAAGGCCTGGTGAGTAAAGAGCTAGCTGTTCTGGTGCAGAAATCGTGTTTCCGGTTTGACATCGCTCTGGCCAATAGGATTCGAGACTCTCAAACACCATTTTAATTTCCATCCTCTATAGTTTGTGCGCTCTGCTGCTGTAATGGACAGTGCCGGGTGGGAGGCGCACAGTTTCAGGGTAGGACATGTTGTGGTGTGACGTCTTTCGTCTTGACGCATGTGTAGTGGTACGCGCTTCGTTTGCTTCCTTTGGTGGTGCTCCTTGGCTAACAACTCAACTACGAGGAACTCTGATAACTCTGATTTTGCATGGGAGGCTATGTTGCGCGCATCGCACTCGATCAAGGGCCATGTGAGCATCCATCTGTAGCGAAGATCTCGGGGCAATAGCAGATGACATGGAAACCAACAGATGCTTAGATTTTTTTTTTTCTAGTTTTGACACGAGCGAGAAGTACCTTGAAGACTGACGCGTAACGGGCAAGAGAACACAGCATACAACCCAGGAATAACCAATTAAGTATCTAATGATGACGCTCTGGAGAATCGTCGGAACGGTAGAGTCCTAATGCGACCAAGTAGTACAGGTATGTATGAAATGCTTCCGAGCGAGATCTCCGTATTCGGAAATGTTTAGAAGGGTTCATGTCCAGATTTGGGTCTCAGGGCGCGACCGATCTGAAACCAGCAAGCAACTTTGACATCACCGGCAAATCGACGATTCTGCAGATGAATGGGGTTCGGCCGTTGCGAGTGGCGACGCGACCAAGCTAGCCGAGCTGGTGCTGCTTTGGTCCGGTTCTAAGCCCGAGCGGGCTTTGTCGATTCTTAGGAGTTCCGTCTCTTTGCTGGAAAAGGAGGTTGCGTTTTCCGCTCCCGCTTCTTCTCCCCTTCAATCGCCCCCGACTACCCCTGGTGAGTTCCTTGTTGGTGTTTGGAGTTCTTGAATTGGTTTGTGCTGTCTCCGAGTTGAGGAGACCCCACAAGACTTTCGTTGGCTGTTGGCCGGGATTTGTTTCGTGCGGCTATCGGCCTGCCTATCAGGGAGCCGTACAGAGGTCTGGGCGAAGCGTGCATTGACACCCGCATTAGAATGCTGTGTTTTCTTGTGGGTTGTACCTTAACCCTTATGTGACTACAGGCCGATTCAGCTCCGTTCTCAGCTCCGATCACTTTGCGTGCCGAAAGATCGCCGTTGTGCCTCGGCTAAGAGCTAAAAACGTACATAGAGACCAGCAGGGAGACACAGGCAGCCCACCCCAAAAGCACGCTTATCAGCAATGCGCACAGGACTCACATAGTACAATACTATTCACCCATGCCTAATCTCTCTGACGTGGGGCAGATATCCTTTCCAGATCCAATCTACTGCCTACCGGCTGTCCAAGATTCACACGCAAAATACCACCACTGGAGGGTACATAAAGCACCCTGAACATGTGATCAACCCGGTGCCGCATCCGCGTGGGAGAGCAGAGAAAGCGCACACCGGAGTCGATGCTAACGTACTGCCTCGGTGCTTGATGTTGTTGTGATTGCGGTGCGTGTGGTTCCCAATATTGGGAGTGAAGGGTGGTTCGTCTGCTGTGTGCAACATTTCGCTCAAAGGCAAGGGTTTTCGGGACTACAGCTCCGATCACAGCTCCGATCACAGCTCTCTATTTGTAGTACAGAATAGTTAAATTTATCACGATTTTTATGCATTTTGTGCGATAGTGGATGATGGTCTCGATTGTCTGATGAGCGGGCCGTTTTTTTGTCGATCTGGCGCTTCTGTTAGGCGGTTTCCCGTCAGCGTCTTCGCATCTAGCGCCGCTAGCAATTGCGCTTGCCGTATGCTCTGTCCAAGGATGAGGTGGAGAAGATGTGCCAACAGGTATTGCTTGCACAGGTACATCCTCTGTGCGGATGGTTGCTGTCGGAGACAGGCATGCACACCTGCTCAGAAACTACTGCTGCTGTACAGCAGTCTATTTCTCTCCGCATAGCTGCTACTGCTGTACAGCAGCAGTACTACTGTACTCCTGTTCGCCACCCTTACATATACCGCGTCCCCATCACTGTGAGCCCCACACATGGACCCACTGCTGCACCATCCTTGCCGCCGTGGTTTACGGGTGTACACGCATGCTTGGAAGATCTTTGACCGTAGAGAGCCAGTTGTGGGAAAAAAACATTTAACCCAGTCACGTAAGGGTTAATGTGTCGTCCCACGATTCGATGAACATTGCGACCTGTCTCAGTATTTTTTGACCTCCCGCTATGGGAAAAAAACAAAAATGGCTCAATATTTGTTACCCCCCCCTATAGGATAAACTGTTGTCTCAAAATAGTTTAACCCTGATTGTGGGGAAAACTATTGTGCTGGGCAAGGAATCAATGTGATATGTATTTTCTCGTACAATAGTTTCTCTTTCAAGTTGATCGGGATGCCTTCCTTTCCAACCCTATCGAAAAAATAACGCGCACCTATCGAGCCAACAGCTGAAGCCAACCGTGCATGTCCTTCACTCCGTGGTCAGCAACACAAAGACCACACCTTCACCGTTGCCATCTGCACCTACTGATCTGTTCACTGTGCAAGTAAGTCCATTTGCATGCGAATGAGGCCCGTTTGTTGACGGGCAGCGCCGAAGGTTTTACCTCAACCCATCGACTACAGTGTGATATATGTGAACGGGTGGAATTGGACGGTATTATGACGCCAGGGCAAACAGTTTCGCTTCCCGTGGGCTTTGAATAGGTTTTCCGCCATCAGGTGTATGCGCTAATGATGTCATTGGCATCGATCGCGAGCATGGTTGGCCACGCACAGACTGCCTAACGCGATGGGCGATACTGTTGACCGAACCCTGTTCGCCGCCGTGCAATCTCACCACCCACCAAGATTTGTCCCACTAGATGTGTCCGACTGCCCTCTTCTACAAAATATGGGGCTAACATCAGGGAGTACTGTACACGACGATCCGAATGAGGTTTAAATTCAAGTCCCGAGCAAGACCGAAAGCACGCCTGATTTTGGTTTAACGTTGGCTGTGCTCAGGTTTTTGTTTGGCTCAGATCCATAACTTCATGCGGAACGCATTAGGGAATGCTTGCATTACCCGCGAAGCGCTACAAAGCTCATCTCTCACACCTATCTCCCTAATGCGGGCCATCGAAGCGAAGGCCTGTAGAATGCTGGTGGGCTAATCTATAAGCCAAAATGGTTGTTTGCAGGCCGCAACCAACCGCATGGTTTTGATTCTCTCTTGTGCTGTCTCTCGTCACTCGAACAACCACCCACACACACACCACCCACACAAACCACGGTGGACCGACGAGACACAAATCGGCCCGGTAGTACGTAGCCCTATTGCATATGTCGGACTATCACCATGTACGGGGCGGAAGCAAACAGTTTGCTTGAAATTCCTTTGAGCCCTCACGGCCATCGTTTGCGCTGGTGACCAATGTGATAGAACACGAACACGGTAGATAGCTAGAGAAACTCAGTCGCGGTGTTTTCCGCTTGAGCAACCACATGACGGCACTCGGTGGTCTTGGCCAATGAGCGCGGGGCCTCGGGGTCAAGTTCCCTTGTCGATTTTTCGTGCACCGTTCTTGTGTTCACCCGAATCTCTAGGTATGACGTGTTCTGACGGTTCCCTTTCACAGCGTACGAAGCCTGTTGTGAAGTACTCTGCCATCGGGCAACATGTTCGGGCGCCTTTTTTGTTTTGTCTTCGCTTCGAGTCACCGCTCAAAGCACTTGCGCCGTTTACTTCAACCCGTGGTCACACAGACGGGTTCCTCTTCCTGAGGCCCCCTGCCCACCCCTCCTGAGGTGCTTTGACTTGGATTATTATTGCGAGAAGAGTACAGCACTCTCTTCCCTCAGTGTACACACGAACTAGCGCTTTCCGCCCAGGCGAGGGACGGAAGCGAGAGAAAGACTCGCTTTGCAAGAAAAGCTGGCTTACGCCCCAATTCTAACCCCTGACCCTGGCCACTAGCGGAGTTTACCAACTAGACTACGGTGGCGAGCGACAATCGCCCTACGGCACTCTTTATTCCCAGCCGTTCTCCCAGTCTCGTGATTCCGTCTCGCACATATACCCTCTCTGGCACACGCGCGAGTTTTTTTTTGTTCTGCAATGACGGGTGAAGCGCCACGGGATGTCACAAAGCGCACGCCCAGTGCTGTATTTATTGGAGAGGGCAATAGCTTGGCCGCTTGGCCCATGTTTGCCGGCATCAAGGTTTGGCCCCCAACATTCCACCCCTTGAAGACCGCTGTAACCACTCATGCATGTGATCTAGCTCCGGCAGTCTGACGGTCCATTCCAAAAGTCTGACGTTCCTTCAAGAAATTTTTATCCACTCTCGTCATCCTCGCGTGTACCTGTCGCTGGCCGTACTGTAGTAGCGGTAGTTGATCGCAATCCACGAGGACGGTTGCTGGTGTTTGCACAATGTCCTCCCACTATTGTTGAGCAGCATATGTTGTTGTCTTCCCGCAGTGATTATTCCGTATTCCGTTTAGTGTTATCTCAACGCACTGTCCCCTAAGAGTTGGGTAGTTCGCTGCAACATCCCCACACTAGTCCGAACCAGTCCGAATCCTCGAGGTTTTGTTCGAATCTAACAGGTTACGTTGTCATGTGATTATTTTCACACCGTGCGTGCCTTGGGTCGATCATGGCATCACTGGCAACTCTATTGTCTGTTTGGATCGTGCGAGAGAAAGGTTCGATAGTCTTGATAGTTTTCTGAAGAGAACGGAATAGGCCAAGCATTGATGCCTTTGTCGGCCCAGCTAGATAACTCGTTTTAGTTTGAAGCGTATTCGAAATTTCCGGGATGGTCTTCGCGTTGTGGCATTGTGTTCGACCAGTTGCAGACTCTACCGCCACGGACTAAGATACTTTCCAAATACGCCGTTGGTGTGTCCTAGCTTACATGTACGCTCATGCACTGCGTGTTGACCCGCAGGACCTACTCGTAACTCCTGCTTGGAAGCCCTCATCGTTGCTCTGAACGAGACGTGCGACGGGACGAGTTGGTACACGTCGACGAAGGAGCTGCAGCTGGCGTCCTTGGAGTTCTGCATCGCGTGCAGGAACTACCAGACCGTGCACTTGAATGTCGACGAACAAATTCCACGCAGGCTGCTGGCCACTGCGGATGCTCCCCCACCGCACCCCAAACGGTTATGTTGGACGCGCGTGCCACGGCTTAGAGCTCGCCGAGTGACATGGAACATGCCGACAGCGGCGGAATTGAGAACCCCGATATTTGCAATGACCGACGTGGAGTACCTGGAGTTCGGCGATGCCTTTGAAGACAGTCTCGAGGCTGTGCCATGGCCGGAACACCTGAGAACGATGGAGTTTCACCCTGATTCACCGTTTGACCAACCTATCGAATTGGTACAATGGCCGGCATTTCTGCAGAAGATCACTTTCGGAGCAGATTTCAACCAACCGATCGAACGTGTCAAGTTTCCGGCATCGCTGCAGCAGCTCATATTCCGCACGTCGAGTTCGTGTTTTGACCAACCGATTGCCGAAGTGGTTCTGCCGGCTTCGCTGCAGCTGCTTGAGTTGGGGGGAGACTTCAACCAGCCGATCGAGGATGTAGTGTGGCCGGCATCACTGCAGCAGCTGACGTTTGGGAACAGATTCAACCATCCCATTGAGGGCACTGTGTGGCCAGATGCTCTTCAGACGCTCGTTTTCGGAGTTGATTTCAATCAACCAGTGGACAACGCGAGGTGGCCGGCGTCGTTGCAAGAGCTGACGTTTGGATGGTGCGATGAATTTGCCGGCGATGGGATGGTGATTTTCTCGAACTTTAATCAACCCATCGGTAGCAGTGTCTGGCCTGCATCGCTTCGGCGACTCACACTAGGCCACATGTTCAGACAGTCACTGCAAGGACTGGGCACTTGGATGCCCAATCTTGAAGCACTTCATCTTCTTCATGACCATGGTTCTTGGTTAGGTGACAGTAACCTTCTCTGCGGAATCGAATGGCCGAAGGGCCTTCGTCATCTGACCCTCTTGGAAGGCACGAGCTTAGATGGAGTGGATATCCCTTTTGCTGTGCAGGTCTTGTTTGCGTACCACGAGTGTTGGTGATGGCGGCTGTGTCGGAAGAGTAGCGTTGAAATTGGATGGTTCAGTGTGGGACTGTCGGTTCTACAGATCGCTGGAGCCACACATTATGCGAGGAACGTTCTGTAGGCATGTTGTTCGTGGACGGTGCATTTCGCCGAGCGTGTTCTTTGTGGATATGTAGTGCATTTGCCCGAGGAGTTGTGGTACGTAGGGAAGTGCATTGGTCCGTTTTCCGAATTTGTGTGTGTTCTGCTGTTATGCGTTGATGGGGCGGCATGGCTGGTGGTGCTGTGCTCACCACCACGCTCACTTCAAAAACCGACCTGACTCTTGTGGACCAAGGTCTCATTAATACAACATCTTTTCGCCAGAAGACACCAGTTTACCACATCGAGTGCTACATGTAGTGCCTATCGTTGCGACTTAGAGATTTGATTATTCTGAGGGGGAGCAGCATTTTCTGCACTCACATGGTTTACTAAGGAGTGTCAGGTAGTGCTTTTGAGCGAAACGTATCGAACGAGAGAATCTGGAAGTATGTACGAAACATGGAATTGGACGTTGCCAGCTGGAGTGCTTGGAATTTACCACCAATTGGCGTGACACGAGAGCCTCCCACGCACGTCGGTTGACAACACCAAGATGACACCCAAAATTGCCTCCAGTTCGATGTAGTCAACCTACAGATTCGGCTGTCTCAGCGGTGAGGAGAACGTTCTCCATGGGGATCAAAAAATTGTGTGAGCAGCTGCTGCTCGGTTTTGATGACGCAGAAAATCTTCAAGGTATCCAAACGTAGAGGTGACTGTATCAACGTCGAGGAGAAAGTTCTCGGAGGGGCTCTGTTAGGCAGGGTAATTTATTGTGTGAGCAGCTGCTGCTCGGATTTCCGTACAATGTGACCGTACCGATACGACCGAGCGGTACCGTACTTTCATTTGGTCAGACAGCATAGCCGGCATCGACTACTCTCCGTGATATCACACCGCCTGGGCCGTTTTCCACAGCTCGATTACTCTACGATGAAGGCAATGGCAACGTCAAACGTTCCGCTTTCGGAAAGTCCTCTCGACGAGACGGTTCTTAAGACGCCTGTTTCGTCGTCGACGCTCGTTCTGTCGTGGAGCAATCGAGCTTTGGAAGTCAATCTTGGAGGTGTGGTAATTTGTGTCGTCTATGGTAAGTAAACATCGGCACCATGGACAAAAACCAGTCGAGAGGTTTGACCAGAGAACGAAGTTTTTTTGTGAAGCACACCGAAATCAGCGATCGTGTCCCTGTGGGAGTGACAATACTGTTGTACCTGTTCATTGTATACCCTATCGCTGCATCTACCTCAATCACCCATGTCTCTTACTCGTCAACCTGTTTGACAATTGAGAGACGTGGACGACGGAAACATAAGTCTCGTGCATCATGTTCATCATTCACGTGTAATATACCTACGTTACCCCCGGAAGCCCCGTACATCATTCCCATATTTCGAGGTCCAATTCGCTACATTTCGAGTTTCTATTCGCGAGCCCCGAGTTCGCAAGGCTCGAGTCTTATTACCCCCAATGAAAAATCAACTTTCTCTGTTGTTGTTGTTGTTGTTGTTGTTGTTGTTGTTGTTGTTGTTGTTGTTGTTGTTGTCGTCTTCACATTAAAAACCGTTCCGATCTCGCTCTACCCAGTACCTTCGTATGTCCGTACTGATCCAACACTCGACGCGGTCGATTCCCGTGGTCACAGGTTAACTTACCCTAAAAAGGTACACTCAAATAAACTGGCCCCGAGGGGTCCGCAAGTCAATAGAAATCAACGACAGATATTCTGGAATCCTCCACTCCCTCTTCGGCTAATGCGAGGTATCAACTGAGACTAGCAGTCACTATCTATCATGGGCCGGAGAAAGAGGTACACCCCCTTGGTTCAATCTTGGTACTTCACAACGCAAGCAGAGACAAGGCCATCTGGCACAGAAAAAGAGAGAAAAAAGAGAAAAATGGAAACCGTAAGGAGAAGAAAAAATATGAAACAAATATTGAAAAAGGGCGAGGACAAAGAGGGACCAGGCCGAAAATAACAAGAAGTATGAGGCAGAACAAGGCACACGGTGGAGAGACCACTAACTAACGAGCAAACACGCAAACATGGCCACCAACCAGCGATACGTCGTAATGGTACGAAATCACTACTGGGGGGTTGGTGCAATGGTGCAGCGTTGGGGGGGGGGAATTGGCTAAAAGAAATTCAATCCGGCGCGTTTCGTGCCACTCGGTCCGTCTCTTCTCGTTTGCTGTCTTCCCTCGCCGTCTCGTCCGTCTCCTGCCCCCCTCCCGCCCCATTGGTTGTTGGCTTGTGGTTTCGTTTGAGCGCTCGTTGTCGGCTGGCCTCTTCTTCCTTCTCGTGCCAGGAGGTCATGAACCTCTCAGCTCCCTGCAGCACCGCCGCATGCCAGGGTACTCCCCCCTCCACCTTCGCGGCTTCCGTCCACCTTAACTTCGATGCCGTGTCTTTCGGTACGGGAATTCCGAGACAACATGGGTCGGTTTTCGTAGATCCGTGGTCGGCCCCGAATGCCTTCAGGTCGTCGAGCATACACTTCGGCCAGTTCTGTTCCTGTCCCCCCCTACGTGGCTTCTCCCCCCCCGCCAGCTCGCCGAGCATCAGTCGTTTCGGGAGTCGCCCGTCCGGCTGCCTTGCCAGTGCTCCCGCGAACAGTAGGCGTCGTTGTCGGATCGTGGCTTCAACGCTCTGGCATTCGACCCTCTTCAGCGTCTGGGCGTACGAGAGCTGCCGGTAGGTGTCTTTCTTGCGCTTGTACCCGATAACTCGAAGGAGCAGTCGGTGGTGTGTCGACCGCAGCGTCTGATAGTGGCCGCTGAGTGGTGACCATGTCATGCAGCCGTACAGCAGTGCCTCCATCGCCTCCGCCTGAAGGAGGCGGATCTTGAGTCGGAATGGCGCTTTCGGTCTGTCGATACAAGTCAGTGGGTCCAAGCGAGGGACAAAGGTCTAAAAAAGGTGTTCGCCTTTGACAAGCTCTGGCTAAAGACATCTCGTACCTGCTTCACAGAAAAAGCACGATCGTCCGGAAAACGCAAACTTCCTCCAAATCCACAACCTTCGTTATTGATGTGCAACTCCTCGACGAGTTTCGTCGGCGTTGCCTGTCTGAAGCTTTCCTTTTTTATTTCTCGGGAACTGCTCGAGCACGAGACACAGCAAAAACAAAGTGACGGAACAACGAAGGCGTCCAGACCGCGACGAAGACCTTGAAACCGTGGTGCCGACGATGACAAGGCTAATGAAAACTTACGATGACAGGATACTACAAAAGCAAACGCGACAGAATCGCACGAAAAATAACACCTCAAGTAGGTCTCCCCGATGGGCTGACAGGGGGAAACGGACTCGCGGAGGGAGCGGCACTATTGGCAGCAGTATCAGGGACGAGAGTGGTGACCCCCGGCTGCAGGGGTTTCCCCGCGGCGGCGGAGCGAGACGGTCGGGTCGCAGGCACTCGTGGCGGGAGCGGCAGCAGCGGCAGCAACACCGGCGGGAAGAGGGGAGACCACCGGCAGTCAAGTGTTCCCCGCGACGCCGGCCGTAAGTACGGTCGGGGTGCAGGCACTCGCGCTAGAGCGGTACCATCGGTATCAGCACCGGCGGTGGGAGAGGTGACCCCCGGCGGCAGGGTTCTCCCCGTGGCGGCGGCGGGGGAAACGACCAGACCACAGGCACTCGTGGCGGGAGCGGCAGCATTGGGAGCAGCACGGCGGGAAGAGGGGGGACCGCCGGCAGTCATGTGTTGCCCACGACGCCCGCCGTAGGTACGGACGGGGTGCAGGCACTCGCGCTAGAGCGGTACCATCCGTATCAGCACCGGCGGCGAGAGTGGTGACCCCCGGCGGCAGGGTTTTCCTCGCGGCGGCGGCGGAGGAGACAGCCGGGCAGCAGGCTCTCGTGGCGGGAGCGGCAGAATCGGCAGCAAAACCAGGGATGAGAGGGGGGACCACCGGCAGTCATGTGTTTCCCGCGACGCCGGCCGAAGGGACGGCCGGGGTGCAGGCACTCGCGGCTACAGCGGTACCATCCGTGTCAGCACTGGCGGCAAGAGTGGTGGCCCCCGGTGGCAGGGTTTTCCCCGCGGCGGCGGCGGGGGAAACGACCAGACCACAGGCACTCGTGTCGGGAGCGGCAACATCGGCAGAAACACCGGACCACTGTCAGTCATGTGTTGCCCGCGACGCCGGCCGTAGGTACGGACGGGGTGCAGGCACTTGCAGCTACAGCGGTACCATACGGCCGGATAGCACGCACTCGTGGCGGGAGCGGCAGCATCGGCAGCAAAATCGGTGATAAGGGGGGGACCGCCGGCAGTCATGGTGGGGACGGTCGGTGTGCAAGCACTCGCGCTAGAGCGATGCCATCCGTATCAGCACCGGCGGCGAGAGTGGTGACCCCCGGCGGCAGGGTTTTGCCCGCGGCGGCGGCGGAGGAGCCGGCCGGGAGGCAGGCTCTCGTGGCGGGAGCGGCAGCATCGGCAGCAAAACCGGGGATGAGAGGGGGGACCACCGGCAGTCATGTGTTTCCCGCGACGCCGGCCGTAGGGACGGCCGGGGTGCAGGCACTCACGGTTACAGCGGTACCATCCGTGTCAGCACCGGCGGCGAGAGTGGTGACCCCCGGCGGCAGGGGTTTCCCCGCGACGCCGGCCGTAGGGACGGCCGGGGTGCAGGCACTCGCGGCTAGAGCAGTACCATCCGCGTCAGCACCGGCGGGGAGAGAGGGGACCGCCGGCAGTCATGGTGGGGATGGTCGGGGTGCAGGCACTTGCGCTAGAGCGGTACTATCCGTATCAGCACCGGCGGCGAGAGTGGCGAACCCCGGCGGCAGGGGTTTCCCTCAGCAACGGCGGGGGAGACGGCCGACAGGCAGGCTCTCGTGGCGGGAGCGGCAGCATCGGCAGCAAAACCGTCGGGGACATGGTGACGGCCGGCAGTCATGGTCGGGACAGCCGGGGTGCAGGCACTCGCGCTAGAGCAGTACCATCCGTATCAGCACCGGCGGCGAGAGTGGTGTACCCCGGCGGCAGGGCTTGCCTCCGGCGGCGGCGGAGGAGACAGCCGTGAGGCAAGCTCTCGTGGCGGGAACGGCAGCAACGCCAGCAAAACCAGCGGGTAGAGGGGGGACTACCGGCAGTCATGGGTTTCCGGCGACGCCGGCCGTAGGTATGGCCGGGGTGGAGGCACTTGCGGCTGGAGCGGTACCATACGGCCGGACTGCAGGCACTCGTGGCCGGAGCGGCAGCATCGGAAGCAGCACCGGCGCGGGGAGGGGGGACCGCCGGCAGTCATGGTGGGGACGGCCGGGGTGCAGGCACTCGCGCTAGAGCGGTACCATCCGTATCAGCACCGGCGGCGAGAGTGGTGACCCCCGGCGGCAGGGTTTTCCCCCGGCGGCGGCCGGGAAGACGGCCGGCAGGCAGGCCCTCGTGGCGGGAGCGGCAGCATCGGCAGCAACACCGGCGGGGAGAGAGGGGACCGCCGGCAGTCATGGTAGGACACGGTCGGGGTGCAAGCACTTGCGCTAGAGCGGTACCATCCGTATCAGCACCGGCGGCGAGAGTGGTGACCCCCGGCGGCAGAGTTTTCCCCCGGCGGCGGCGGAGGAGACGGCCGGGCAGCAGACACTCGTGTCGGGAGCGGCAGCATCGGCAGCAAAACCGGGGATGAGAGGGGGGACCACCGGCAGTCATGTGTTTCCCGCGACACCGGCCGTAGGTACGGCCGGGGTGCAGGCACTCACGGCTACAGCGGTACCATCCGTGTCAGCACCGGCGGCGAGAGTGGTGACCCCCGGCGGCAGGGGTTTCCCCGCGACGCCGGCCGTAGGGACGGCCGGGGTGCAGGCACTCGCGGCTAGAGCGATACCATCCTCGTCAGCACCGGCGACGAGAATGGTGACCCCCGGCGGGAGGGTTTTCCCCCGGCGGCGGCGGGGAAGACGGCCGGCAGGCAGGCTCTCGTGGCGGGAGCGGCAGCATCGGCAGCAAAACCGGTGATGAGAGGGGGGACCACCGGCAGTCATGGGTTCCCCGCGACGCCGGCCGTAGGTACGGACGGGGTGCAGGCACTCCCGGCTGGAACGGTACCATACGGCCAGACTGCAGGCACTCGTGGCGGGTGCAGCAGCATCGGCAGCAACACCGGCGGGGAGAGAGGGGACCGCCGGCAGTCATGGTAGGGACGGTCGGTGTGCAAGCACTTGCGCTAGAGCGGTATCATCCGTATCAGCACCGGCGGCGAGAGTGGTGACCCCCGGCGGCAGAGTTTTCCCCCGGCGGCGGCGGAGGAGACGGCCGGGCAGCAGACACTCGTGTCGGGAGCGGCAGCATCGGCAGCAAAACCGTCGGGGACATGGTGACGGCCGGCAGTCATGGTCGGGACAGCCGGGGTGCAGGCACTCGCGTTAGAGCAGTACCATCCGTATCAGCACCGGCGGCGAGAGTGGTGTACCCCGGCGGCAGGGTTTGCCTCCGGCGGCGGCGGAGGAGACAGCCGTGAGGCAAGCTCTCGTGGCGGGAGCGGCAGCAACGCCAGCAAAACCAGCCGGTAGAGGGGGGACCACGGCAGTCATGGGTTTCCGGCGACGCCGGCCGTAGGTACGGCCGGGGTGGAGGCACTTGCGGCTAGAGCGGTACCATACGGCCGGACTGCAGGCAGTCGTGGCCGGAGCGGCAGCATCGGGAGCAAAACCGCCGGGGAGAGGGGGACCGCCGGCAGTGATAGTAGGGACGGCCGGGGTGCAGGCACTCGCGCTAGATTGGTACCATCCGTATCAGCACCGGCGGCGAGAGTGGCGAACCCCGGCGGCAGGGGTTTCCCTCAGCAACGGCGGGGGAGACGGCCGACAGGCAGGCTCTCGTGGCGGGAGCGGCAGCATCGGCAGCAAAACCGTCGGGGACATGGTGACGGCCGGCAGTCATGGTCGGGACAGCCGGGGTGCAGGCACTCGCGCTAGAGCAGTACCATCCGTATCAGCACCGGCGGCGAGAGTGGTGAACCCCGGCGGCAGGGTTTGCCTCCGGCGGCGGCGGAGGAGACAGCCGTGAGGCAAGCTCTCGTGGCGGGAGCGGCAGCAACGCCAGCAAAACCAGCGGGTAGAGGGGGGACCACCGGCAGTCATGGGTTTCCGGCGACGCCGGCCGTAGGTACGGCCGGGATGGAGGCACTTGCGGCTAGAGCGGTACCATACGGCCGGACTGCAGGCAGTCGTGGCCGGAGCGGCAGCATCGGAAGCAGCACCGGCGCGGGGAGGGGGACCGCCGGCAGTCATGGGGATGGCCGGGGTGCAGGCACTCGCGCTAGAGCGGTACCATCCGTATCAGCACCGGCGGTTAGGGTGGTGAACCCCGGCGGCAGGGTTTTCCCCCGGCAACGGCGGGGGAGACGGCCGATAAGCAGGCTCTCGTGGCGGGAACGGCAGCATCGGCAGCAAAACCGGTGATGAGAGGGGGGACCACCGGCAGTCATGTGTTCCCCGCGACGCCGGCCGTAGGTACGGACCGGGTGCAGGCACTCGCGGCTACAGCGGTACCATACGGCCGGACTACAGGCACTCGTGGCGGGTGCGGCATCATCGGCTGCAGCACCGCCGGGGAGAGGGGGGACCGCCGGCAGTCATGGTGGGGACGACCGGGGTGCAGGCACTCGCGCTAGAGCGGTACCATCCGTATCAGCACCGGCGGCGACAGTGATGACCCCCGGCGGCAGGGGTTTCCCCCGGCGGCGGCTGGGGAGATGGCCGGGGGGCAGGCTCTCGTGGCGGGAGCGGGAGCAATGGAAGCAAAACCCGTGATGAGAGAGGGGACCACCGGCGGTCATGGGTTTCCGGCGACGCCGGCCGTAGGTACGGCCGGGGTGCAGGCACTCACGGCTACAGCGGTACCATACGGCCGGACTGCAGGCACTCGTGGCGGGAGCGGCAGCATCGGCAGCAAAACCGCCGGGGAGAGGGGGACCGCCGGCAGTGATGGTAGGGACGGCCGGGGTGCAGGCACTCGCGCTAGATTGGTACCATCCGTATCAGCACCGGCGGCGAGAGTGATGACCCCCGGCGGCAGAGTTTTCCCCCGGCCGCGGCGGAGAAGACGGCCGGGAGGCAGGCACTCGTGGCGGGAGCGGCAGGATCGGCAGCAGCACCGGCGGCGAGAAGAGGGACCACGGGAAGTCATGTGTTCCCCGGGACGCCGGCCGTAGGGACGATCGGGGTGCAGGCACTCGCGGCTAGAGCGGTACCATTCGTATCAGCACCGGCGGCGAGAGTGGTGACCACCGGCGGCAGGGTTTTCCCCCGGCGGCGGCGGGGGAGACGGCCGGGCAGCAGGCTCTCGTGTCCGGAGCGGCAGCATCGGCAGAAATACCGATGGCGAGAGGGGGACCACCGGTAGTCATGTGATCCTCGCGGCGGCGGCCGGCCGGGACGCACACACCCACTCACGAACGGAGCACGTTGATGGGAGCGGCAACGACAGGAGCGGCGACGATGGGGGAGGTCACCGCCGTGACGGTGGCGACGGAGAGTGGACTGGGCTACCGCACGCCATGAGCCAACCCGGCAGACGGCTATCCGTCAGCACCGGTACAAGGTGACGCCTGCGGTCACGCGGTCGGAGTCTCGTCGAACCGATATCGTGGCTGGGTGTCGGCGCGTGTACTTCATGATCACGCTTGCGGGCTCGTGTAGAGAACGTTTCTGCGCAAAGGAGTTACTCAAGTTCCGCCCGAAAAAGAACAGTCCACGACCGGCACCGAGTGGACTAAAAATAATATTCTCTCCAAATCCCTTGCGTGCACTACTTCTCTTCTGGCGAGGAAATCCTACTACTGCCGAGAGTGCTTGCTGATCTACAGTACGTACATACATCTGATATATGTGAAAGGAGGGCGGCGACTTGCCTCGTGGGTGCTGCCACCTGTTCAAACAAGGATATATACCCGGTCAATCAACACAAGTGGAAATTGATTTTTGGGGCGGACGGGGGGGACCCACACCCCAACAAAACTGTGAGAAGAACAACAAAAAAACTGAGCGGAGAAAACCGAGAAGGACGAAAGGCTACAGCAGCAGTAGACGAAATGCAATACTTGGGAAGGGAGAGAGTTCGCGAATCTTTTGCAGCATATATATACATGTTCAAACACACACATAGAGGAAGGTTTTTTGCCCGCCGTGAACTCCTTCTTATGCTGGCGAGCTGTTCCTCGAGGCCATCTCATGTACTCTCGAAAAATCGGCAATGGCAAGGGCGGCAATCGCAGTATACCGGAGACATCAACTCCGCGGACCCTGAAAACAAAATTACTACGGAAGTATTCCAAGAGCCGGAAATGGGGAGGGAGAGACAAAGGAGAGTCATGGTCGAAGGCCGATACTACGTAGTATACGCGCTTCCTCCGTGGTAGAGGGGGGCCTAACTAACTGTACTCTGTGTGACCACATGGAAAGCGTCCTCAGTTGGTGGCTTGCGGCTCTCTCGCAGTTACGGCACACACCGACAACATTATGAGCATGGACGAGAGATGGACGGAGGGACCGGTAACAGTCAACTTGTCAACGTAGAGGGACGGGCAGTTGCACAACTCGTCAACGTTCGACGTAGACCTGTGTAGCCGCGTAGATGCACACCCCACGACCGAACCATGTACTGCAGCAAGACCAAGGGCAGCGATCGCGGCAGTTGACATGCGCTACGGAAACCCCGCTTTACATGCGGTCCGAAAACACTCACTGCTCATTGACCAATTCAAAGCAACCACACAAAAAAACGAGAGACCCCACGCGAATGGAAGACACAAAAAATAAGGACGGCATATATGCGATGTACAGCAGTAGATATATTCTGAACATGCCAATGAACGAGAGCAACGATGATTGTGGCTGTCCGTGCACGTTTTAGGGAATGAGTGGCGCGCACGGGTGTCCAACACTAACAGATAGAGATACCGTATTCCTCCGAGATGCCCGCTATGGTGCATGAAAACAGCAGCCTGAGGGATAGAAACCATCATGGTGGCCACGATGGAAAGCCCCACTCACTCGCACGAAAAATAAAAATGTAATGCACCCGAACGGACCGGACGGAACCTCTTTGTCTAATCAACCGCCCCGTTCGGGGTGCGGCACAGACAAGGCCGACTTGTCGGCCACAGGAGGCGGAAGCTCCTCACAATCGGGGAGGGGTGATGATCTGCGATTCCCCACCAAACCATACAAGTACTCGAGACTCTGCGAGATGTGCATTGTAGCTCGAGATCAGCATTTCGGGCCGGGTCGGGCAAGGGGTTGGGGGAGTCGAATGAAACTTCCACGGATATTGGTCTGAGAAGCTGAAGCTGAAGCTTCAGAACCAAAACGGCCAACAAATCTCGACTTCTCTACACTGCGAGCCACCAAAGTATTCTTGACGTCATGACCGGATGTTCCCAGCTCCATCCACCTGCATCCGTTATTGGTACGTCTTCGTCCCCTTCCTCGCGCCCGGAATAGCATACAATCGCGCTCGACTAGCCCCACTAAAGATTCACGAACCGTCCCAATCCCGGTGGCCAACCACGACGCGACATACAGCGTAGGGTTTTCGAACAGAGTACTACCGCAGCAAAACCGCTTGGAGTGGGCGGGGAGGGAGCATCAAATGTCGAGACCAACAACCCTAATCAGCGATGTCTCGAAAAATATCCTTCCAATGAAAAAGGCACGTCGTGTGACACGTACGAACAAGGGACGCCAGCACTGGAATCATATTTCAAGTCTGATCATCGTTGTCGTGACTGCCCGCTAGCTCTTCGTTCTGTTTCAATGAGCAAGGCATGTGAGACATCCAGCCAATCTGCCGCGGCAATGGCGTCTTCCTCCGTCTCTTCCACCGCGGTTTCCCCGTGGCCCAACATTGATTCCGATGCCTGGGTGACCGCGCCCGCATCGTTGCTCCCACCGTACGCCATTCCCGTGTCGCTTTCGACTTCAAGATGGGCTACGCGACCAGTCTCTTTTTCATGGGTGGACTTGGGCGGATACGCTGCACGTACCTCTTGTACCCAGCCCGACGCGCCTGTAATCGATCTTGGTACCACGGCTGAAGGGCCAAACTTAGCGTCTGCGCAATCCGCCAGGAAAGAGCCCATGTCAGCGTTGCACGTGCTAGGTAGCAGGTCGACCTCGGCCCCGCCGCCACCAGCCGACGCAAGGAATGGACCGATGGGTACGCCATTGTCGTCAATGCTCCAAGCAGTTCCCTCGTCTTCACCGAAATGTTCCTTCTCCTCGCCTTCGTCACCTTCATTCTGGTGGTCGGCACGAGCATTTTGTCCGGCCGCGAAAATGCCCCCCATCTCGTCACCCACAATGAGGAGCTCCATCGTCCTACGAAGCCACAGATGACACGGTCGGGGAGAGCGAAAACGTACCGACTTGAATTCTTCGGCAGGCAACGCATCGGTGAAACACACATGCAACCTGGAAATTGACTTCTTGTCTCTGTTGAACAAAGTGAGCAAATCCTTATTGTTGCAGTTTGTCATATCATTTACTGGTGCTGCAAAACCCAACGGAAATCGAAAATGCACCCCCTAACGTCGTATCTAATTGACTACCTTCGACACGCGGCGGTTTGACAAACCTGCAGTAGAAAGTGTCGCAGAAAGAAGAAACCCCCTGCCATTCTTCAAACGGGGGTATGGGCGTCGAATCAGGAAGACGAGTGGAGTTGTACGCGCGCCGTAACCTGTCGTACATCCCTCGTGCTCTGGAGTCTCCAATGACCGCCAGAGCAGTCATCATGATGTGCGCCACGTGCGACCTTTCGGACGAATTGTTGGCGGAGGAGGCGTAATTACTTCCAGGAATCAGAAGCGAGCGCGGTAGGACCTTTGTATTGTCTTGCTCAAGCCGGCGATAAACGTGCCTCCGATACGCGCACCACCATTGACGCAGAGCCCCGAGACGGACCTAACAATCCTCGAAGACTTCGCTATTGCTCTAAGGCTAAACTATTGTTTTGCCTACCAAGCAGCGTACATGGCTGCCATGTAAAAAATCGCGGTATCGAGACACTGTGGTCCAGCAGTTGTTTCGCGGGATGGGACGCTGCGACAGCTCCAAACCACCACTACGAGAACTTTGGTATTTATGCACATAAGGGTTTACACTTGCTGTTATAACGTATTTAAAAAGAAACTTCAAAATATGTAAGAACGTGGACCGCACTCATATTTTGTGTTGGTTTCCGCGTAGAGGTATTATGCCGCGACGGTTACCCCAAACGAGATCTCCTTAAGGATACGCAAGGTTCCTCGCAAAAAAAACGTTGTTAAAAGGGGATGGCGTTTCGCAGAATCAAAATGAAACAGCTTGGGTTCAGAGTAAGGGATTTGCACAAAAGCAGCGTTTTAGCGGGGACGAAAAAACAGACCGAAAAAACATATTATTCATAACGTTTTGCGCCGTAGATGGAAAAGTTCAACTGTGCCAAATCCAAAGCCTCTGCATGTTTTTGCAGCATGAGAACACCCGGTAACCAGCTATATTCGCGTTTAATCCGTTTGTTAATGAGGCATACACACGTGGAGAATAATGGCAACTCGTCAAATGCCCCACAAGATCCGGCATTTGGCCACAATTTCGGGCTGCTGTGTGCGAATACATACAGTTCACGACAACACTTCTAGAATGGTTTCTGGTTGTCTACTGCTGCTGTCAAGCAATGTGACGCCACTCACACACCATATCGGTAGGCTCTGGAGTTTTCGAGCAGTGTGGTTGCCTGGCGTGCTGTAGCTGTCAAATGAAGCTCACTTCGCTGCCCTGGTTCAACAATAATCTCGGCAGGAAGATTGTGCTCAAATCGTAAAATTTATAACACCTCGATCGTGCGCAACAAGGCCTATATTGATAAGCGGCACATTTCGTTGTTCAAGGAGGTATGAGTTCTTCAAACGATGCAACTAGAGGTTTGCGTCTCCTGGGGCTAAGCGCCAGAGGGGACATTTGAGATTTTACAGCAGTTGGCGGGGGCACCGCTCGGGATTTTTTGTGTTCTAGCAGGTTAATCTGTGGGAAATAATATATATGGCTAGAGAAAAAGCACTATCGCGGAGCCCCGGGGACACAGGAGACGGTGAGGAACCTTGTGTAGCCTTTAGATGTGGCACGTGCTGTTTGCAAGAGATTACCAACGTTTGTTCGGGGCCACAACACCCCTGTGCGACTCACCCCATGAAGAATCGACAGACCCCTGGGAATCCCTCGAAGACTTCAACGCAGCGGTCAATTCTCTCGACGGCTCCGGTAAAGTCGCCCTTGGCCGCCTTCTCGAACACAAGGGTCCTGGTGCGCGGGACAGAGTAAGTTGAGAGTCGTTCGGCGTCAAGTAAAATCTGTGCTTCCGTTCATTCACCCAGGGCGCTCAAATGGTGGCCATGAACAACCCAGAAAAACAAATTTGACTTGAACAACACTGGGGTTAATGCCTGCGAAACACCTCCAAAGCAAGGTTTTCGTGCCGAAAGGCTGACATCAGGGCCATTTCGAAGCTCGAATAGTCGGCCCAACAACAGGCGACAGGCGAGGAACACCGGCAGCATATATATTCCCAGCTCACCCGTTGATGATCAGGCCGCCGATCCCTTGGCGAATCAAGGGTCTGCTCACCGTCGAGGTCGGCAACACGTGCAAACACAAAAAAATGGCGAAGTAGTGCGAATGGTTCAACAGGAGCAACCGGCGGTGCTCGACGAGTTGTGGCATGCGGCATGTTTTGGGTGTACGACGGAAAATCAACACGTACATATGCCTTTTGACGGTGGCCAGAACAGCAACTTTATATTAATCGCGTAGGCATCACACGTGCTTCGCTGTTTTTCCGGGAAATGTTATCAATTTCTAATACTGTCGACGCTCAGTAATAATTTCGCAAAAAACAATAAACTGTGGAGCACAGGTCGTTATACAGCGATATTCACAGAGTTGAGTGTAAGAGTCCACCGCGGATGTGTGTGTCTGCATCGATTCATTCAAACTTTTCTTGAAAATGTGAGCCTCTGTTTCTTAACAAAATATTTCTTGACTGATGCCCGGGTAGGTGTTCACTATGAGGGGTCTACCGTGGCATTTCGGTCCGATCGTCTTTTCGAACCCGAACAGTTGACAAATTCTTCTCACCGATCGGCCACATCTTCCAACCGCTCGAAGTCGCACGAATGGTTGCTGATCCTCGAAGCCATCGTGTCTACGACTGCCATCGAAGCTTCGCGTACTCGAGAGCTACACGTGCGGATGCCGGCCTCGTTTTCGCTCGGTAGCCCGCCGGCGTCAGAGCTCTCGAGGTACGCCGTTCTGTAGACAGCTTGCTCGAACTCCCGGTACGCCTGCATCATGAACGCGTACAGCTCGGTCTCGGATGCTGCTGCTTTCAACTGGGCAGCCAGCGACAAGAGTGGGGGAATGGAAGGGCAGCATGCATTTAGTGCCGGGCTTTTCGTCATAAACCGATGACTACGCTCGACCATCCTGACCGGTGTCCTACCCATGCCTGTAACGTACCATGCGTTTGAAGAATACCCATCAATCAACGTGTATTTCTCCCGCGCACCTTCCTGGCCTTGTCTCGGTCGTGGCAGGCGGTAGTGATGCATGAAAAAGGATTGCCATTACATGGCAACCCCTAGACTGTCATCGTTGAGGGTGCTGTTGTTGTTGATGTCCGGGGTAATCTGGTTAAAGTGATCAGGGGGATAATCACTTTCCACCTTTTATCACCCCCCCACCTAACTCCCCCCCTCGGCCTTGTTTGCCATCGGGGTTTGGGTTTTCGTCGCTTGGCAACGACGTTGTAAAACAAGCCAACTCACTTCGTGAACTCGGCAACCAGGTTACCGTTTTTTTTTTTTTACCTCGTTTTTTTTTTTTTGGCGGTAACCATAATGGTGGTCGAGTAGATCATGTTGTGCGGGGTGGAGAACCCTCACTCCGCGCAACGGGGGATGATCGCACCATGTTGTGTTAAACTGGTCAAGCATCCTCGAGGCAGTTACACAGTGCTTACAACTGTCTCTGGAAGTGAAAGCACCAGAAATAAATTAAGTCATACGTAGCTGTCATCCGTACGCAAGGAAGTAAGCACAAGATGCCGAACACCCTTAGCAGGATGCAGCTCACCCTTCATGCGACTTGCCAAATACCTCACGGCGCTTCGCGCTTGGTGATGTGAGAGCCTGGTCCGGTGAGAACCCGGCGTGCTCCGTCCCGGCTTTGTAGGGATGCGAGGTCAATGGTCTAACGACTACGGCATGCACGACTATGAGTACACCCCCCCCCCCCCACCTAATTTCCACACGACTTTGCAAGTAGCCCGGCAGGAATGCTACTGTAGTTGCTGGTGTGTATCACCCCGCTCAGTACCACACTCTGCATGTGCGCCGCAGTACGGTACTCCCGGCAAGCGGTATCACACCCACTTTACATAAGGCGCCCCATACGCGTGTGGCAGCAGACACGATACGTAATCCGTTGCAGGTAGTGGTAACACGATCTCTAGATACAACACGGATTGGGTCCCTGCAAGTGCACTCCGGCGTTATCGCACCCCTCGCTATGACGCCCTGTTCATACTTGCCGCGACTTGCACTTCATCACCCGGGATACCCGAGAACACCCCCACGCACACAGAACACAGCACCCGGCAACAATCTCTTCTACAGGGAAGCATTATCCCTGTTGTTTGATGACTTGTATCGAATACAGTAGGCGAACCTGGAAAAAAAAACATGTGCCCAAATCCGTTGTGGTTCCACACCATACGTGTTGAGACTGAACCCTGTCGCCACTAACCTCCTCCACCATCCCTCTCCGGGGGACCTCGATCACTAGAACGCGTGTTTGCGTTCTTAAACCGTAGTAAGACTGATGTTGTTTCACCGGTCAGTCGGTTACCACAGTCGTGGCAAAAACAAAACACGCATGGATTCTTCGTGTAACATGAAGAATATAAAAACACACACACACACACACACACACACACACACGTGATGACGGTGAAGCACTCCAAAACGAACTCGAGTGCAAGGTAGCAGCCTTCGTAGACTTGCTCATTTTTCTTCTGTTTCTACCGTTTCTGTCTTTGATCCGGAGAATAGGTTAGTCTCCCCCATGCCGCCCCCACATGGGGTCCCAGAAAATAGCATTTAGAGGTGTTCTATGTTGTCAACCGCACTGAGACTGACGTCATTTCATTGGTCAGCCGGTTAGCGCGGTCGATGCCAATAATAAAAACACACACACACACAACGCCCGCACACGAACCTGGGGGGGATCCTGTGGTTGGCGGCAAAACGACTCCACTTCCGACGTGCTTGCATTCCCAGAAAACATCCGGACGGTCATCCTGTGACTGACAACCTCGGCATATCCCTGGCCACCAAACAAGGGTCGGTTCATTTTACGGTTGTCGTCAGGCTCCATGGAGGGGCATAAACTGTCATGGTCCGGATTCCGTACGCAACCGATTGACGGGGTCCTTTTGGGGTACGAAGGGTGTCAAAGGTTCGGAACCGTTGTGCAGCGGGTTGTGTCGGTGCCTCTTTCAGTATATCGACCCCAAGAGTCTTCACTGCCAGAAATGCACTGGACCGTTGTCATCTCAATCTTGTCCGCTTCAACAACATTTGCTGATTTTATCCTCGTCTGCACCCAGAGCCACGACGAACCATGTCTAGCCCTACCTCATCGTGGTGTTTGAAAAGCTAACCGATTGAAAATGGCCAGTTGGCAATCTACCTGTAGGTTGGGTGGACACGAGTTTGGTGTACAACTGCTCTCGCAAAGAGCACGCCGTTGAGACTGCCCGAAAATTGATCGTCAATACGTATCTTTTAACAGCAAGAACAGCAGCCGCTCTATGCATGTCTGGACCAACCGTACGTGACATCAGATACCAAACCCGCAGGACCGACACAAAGAGCTCGGTTTATCTACAGTAGAAAGAATGGCAGTTTCGAAAATGTACCGTATGCATTATGCAGCGTCTTCATCGTGGATTAATCTGGATTTGAAAATCGGTCCATGGGGTGTGGCATATTTCGTCACCTACGGCAAAATCACGGGAACTGAGCCAGAATCAAGTATGACAAGTATGACACTCACCACGGGCAGCACCTCGGTGGAGCCGTAAGCCCCGGAAGCACTAAAGAATGCTTCTGAACGTGCCATGTACTCTTGAAACATATCCTGAGCGGGAAGGACAAGCCATGGATGGGATTGGCTTCGCGTGCGTCCAAGAATCACAATTTTCTTACAAAGATTGCCTGAAAACGGTTTGTCGCTTTTTGTTGAAGAGAAAAACCTCGCGTCATGGGATCACAACTTCTGTAGCTTGCCTGAAACAGCCTTCTTGCCTGTCGTCGAAGGCGCGCAGGCCAAAATGTCAAAGACAGACATATATACTCAAATCTGTCAATTCAACTAGGTACCATGCACGAGTCGGGTACGAAAAGCGGAACCGTCAGGGTATCTCACCGTGTCTCCATGAAAGAGGTAGAGGAAGGCCAGAATTACCCAGGCCCTGGAAGTGCATGGAAGGCGGGCAGATGAAGGCCGATAGGTCACGAACGTCGAAAATACCAGAAATACGTAGAAAGACATCGGGAAAAATATGGTGGCATATCCACATGGTGTGTTACTGTCCGCGTCAAAGATAATGGGCTACCCGAACGGGCGGCATTAGTCTTTGCCTCGAAACACATCACGTACTCACTTTGCTACTCCGGTAGTCACAGGGCCCGAATAGCTTTCCACGGCATCTCTGGCCAGCTCGGAATATCTCGCCACCTTCGACGACACACGACGCATTGCGGGACAATCGCGTCATTAGCGGAACTGGAAAGACCAACGACATTTCAAGCGTGAACGTGTTCAAGCGAAAGCACGCGACGGCGTTAGGCCATGACGCAACGAACACGACCCCCTCCCGCCCCACGGGCTTGCTCTTGCGTACCACGTGTCAAATCGCAAGCCAAGGGGCACCCGTCACTATTGCCTAGCGTGCCACTCACCGAAGTTACGGGGCCCCCCTTCACAAGTGCCCCCAGAGCAACCGCACACCAAAACGTGCAGGTTGACGAGCCCGCATCGAGTTGATTCTCTGCCGAGGGCATCCTGAAATCGCCCTCTCTTGCCAGCACATCGTCTTCGTCACAGTCGCGCCAAAACACTGGCTTCTGTGAGAGAGTGGGGGACACCATCATCTTCACCATCGTCTCACGGATATGGCTGACAACCATGGCCGTCGTGTGCATGCGGGATTAGCAAACGTGGTCTTCAGCGTAAGCGGCCAACAGCAGTCGTATGTCGTGTATGTCAGTGAAAATCATGAGCGCACAGCAGTTCTTCGACAGGCAGTGGCGTCAACAACAAATATACATTTATGGGAAACGAAACCTACGTGGAGCGAGTCTGGGGAAGGGCTAACACACCGTCGGCAGCCAAACTCCCGCTCTGGCTTAACGACACGGTGGCAATATCACACGGTGTGTCTGTCGTGCCTCACTAGCGTACCTCTGGGTGGTGAGTGGAACGAAGCCAACGCAGGCGAAAAAATCGCCGAGAAAGGTGTTCTCCCGCATCCCCACAAGGCCCGTCGCTGGAGATGCCCTGAACTTGCACCTGTCGCGGTATAAGGAGAATAGTGCCCACAGAGAAGGACTTGCAGTTCAAAGTTTGGGTGTCGGAGGGCATTACCGTAAACTACGGAGTTCCCCCTCCCTAGTACCGATTCCCCCCCTCCCCATTACCTTTTCGGCCTGGACGCATCGTTTCGTTGATTTAGCTCCGGGGTAGATCGATTTCGATCAAAAACAAAAAGATCCCCCCGGGTATGTCAATTTCTCCCCGGGGTACCAGTTTCCCACGAGTTACTCCCGGGGGCGATGTATTTCCCTTATTTTCTGAGTCGATTTTGTTGCATCGCGGAGCACAAAAAGCATGATATGGGACTGAAAATTCATTTGCAGATCTGACTTCGAGCGAGATTTAGGTGTACCGTTTGTCACTTGGCCCTCGCAGTTGTTTTGTGGGTGAAATGCTCTTGTTTTCCTCCTGTCTATTTCTGGCATTCATCGTCCCTGGAGTCAGGTGAAACGTACAACAGCATGCTGACGAAACCTTGCACCCACAGGGAACAAATAATCGTATTCATTTTTGGATCTGACAACTCAAGGAAGAACCGAACCATAAAAATAGCTTATTCCTGCTGACAAACTGCGAATTCTTGTGCATGAGCTTAGGCTATGGTACCACTCGTGCGACCCGACAAAAACCTTATCCATCTCAGTTTCGCCACTCTTTGTTTATGTGGTGTGTGGACCATCATTTTTTTGCACAACCTCCCGGGGGGGGGCTTCCCCCCGGGGTAGCGTTGGAAAAAAAAAAACTAATCCCCCCCGGTACGTCAATTACCCCCCGGGGGGGTTGGTTTCAGAAAAAAAAACGATCCCCTCCTCGGGGGGAAAACTCCGTAGTTTACGGTATCTATTAAAAACCTAGCACCATTTGTGAGCTCGGGTACGAGCCACTACGCCTAGACCTATATGGCGGCCATTCGTCCCGTAGCCTAAGGGGACTAAGAACCCCAGCCCCTCCCGCAAAAGAGGCTCCTGGGTGCGGGTACTAGCTGTATGCAACTAGGCGAAAAGGTAACGGGAGCTCGCACCCCGCGCGGAATATCACGCCGTCCTCATCCAGTTTCACCAGTCCGGCCAAACTAGCTCTACGCGCTCCAAGTGCTTGTCTCACCATTCCAGACTCAAAACAATGGCGCCATTCGCCTGTTTGTGGTCTACCCACACATCGTGTTGTGCTTGTTGTCGAATACAGATACAAAGAGCCCCACCAATTAGTAGAAAGTCTGGAATCTAATGGTCCACATAAGGCTGGGCTTGGACCTTGCCCTAACTCGATGAACAACGCACATATGTTAAGAACTTGGCCGACGCCTATTTAAAACAAAATACCTCGTCCCATCTCTCGTACGATCCTTCAGATATCTACGAGCAAGAAGCGGGGCAAACGAGGGAAACAACATAAACATACTGCACATGTCTCTGAATTTTTATTCGGTGGCAACTTGATTGGGTTGTAGCTTGTGAACACGGAAAAGTGCCCTCTCTTTCCGCCAGGAAATCTGTAATGCACATTGAAGAGCAGGGAAGACGGGTACTGGACCGGGCTCAGAACGACTTCTGTCAAGAAGAAAACAACAAGTTAACACGTTTGTACTCCAGCCACGAGCAATAAAGACATTGCAAAGGGTCGTTGGCACCTGTTGGGGATGGCAACGCCCTGCCCACCCTGATAACTCTTCTCATGTACTATAATAGAGACATAGAAAAGCTCCGCCAATGGTGGTTCTTGAATGAGTGCAACCACACACTCTACTTTACCAACAATCCTACATGCAGAGGCGAACCTTTTAGCCACACCCAAACGGCGGACTCGAGGAGAAGTCTTAGAGAAATACTGGCACCGTCTTGGTTGCAATCGCTGTTCCGAAATGTGGAGGAAATACATCTCGCAGGGATGCGAGCTGCCCACCACTATGCTGGAAGTGTTCGGGGTTACCAGCTATAAGGAAGAAACACATCTCTCACGAATGCGAATTGCCAACGGCAACCCTAGACAGTTTTCAGGGCGACCAGCTCGCGTCTATAAAATATGTTGTATCCCGTTGCTTAGGTTGGCTTGTCACCAAGGAAGCTCGCCCCTTCCACATTAAAGGTTAGACTTGCTATTTGATATTTGCTATTGTGACAGTAGGCCAACGTTAACAACAACAGGTGGAGAGAAAGTGCATGCGGCGACTATATATTCCGCGAACGCCATCCACCAGTAGTAAAACAATTCAAGACATCGCAGCCACAAGCCCTCCGCTGCTCTGGCATGTACCATGTGGGCGTGTTGAGGTCTCATCAATGCTGTTGGTTCGGTGAAAATGCGAGAGACGTATCGGGGTTTGGGGTTTCGCTGTCCCGTTGCCGTCCAACCCTCACGTTGCGCCCCCTTCATACTCGTACGGTGTTCCGCATACCGTTGTTTTCATAGGGTATCACCCCCCCGGACCGAGTTTCAACGGTTGGTTACCCAGCACGAAGGCAGTGACGGTGTCGGAGGCGGCGGCATTTGAGCTGTCTCGTCGAGAGTTATTCCGAAAAAGCATAATTTGATGCTGGCATTCTTTACGTCGTGGAAGATTTGGGTCCAAGGGGTGTGGTATCCTACGCAACCCAAGGTGTTGTAGATACACCTCTTGGAGGAAACTTTCAAATCTGCATGAGGCACTCCTATAAGTCCTCTTCAGGCGTTGCACAGGGCTATACGTAGCGCTGGATTCTCTCAACACGGGGGGAAAGACGGTCCAAGCCCTTCGTACTAGACTATGCGGCTGCTTAGTGGGACCACGAAAGCTGTACCGTGCAAAGTGTGACAACATACGACACCTCGTGCACGGATCTTCGAAGTTCGCATACTCCTAGACAAGAGGACGCAGAAACAGAACCATACGTTTTTTGAAACCTTTCTTGGACATGGTTTCAACGCCGCCGTTTTCGGTACTACCACTCTCTCTGGTGTGCAGAAATTGAGCGTCGAAAACCGGTCCAGGGTGTGCGATATCTTACGTCACCCGTGGTAGGCCGGCTGTAAGTTCCCTTCGGTTGGTGCTCTGCCAAAACCTAACCCCCAACCTCGGCTGCTGGTCACTTCTCCTGTTATTTCCATGCTCTTCTCTGTGCTTCCCGAGACAAAGTTAGATGCTGGGGTCAGTCTTGTAGTTACGTTGCAGTCAGTGCGGCAAACACGTAAGACGCGAGTCCGTCCCCCGGGAGATCTTTCGAATACCCGGCAAAAGGCGGAGAGATGGCACCCCCCCCTAAACTAGGAGACCAGATTTCAATTCTCCATTGCTCCATCACGATTGGGGGCCCTCGACGAGATGTTGCCGAAACCGTCTTTTTTGTGTTGGCACGACATTGATTGTAGAGCAACAGGGTCGTAAAAAATTGTTTTGGAGGGTGCCATAAGCGACCGTACTGCTGTGGTGACACAAGATACCACACCTCCTGGACCGATCTTCAGAGCTCGACTACTCCACAGCAGGAGGAATAGCGACGCTACAAACCTCGGCGTTCGAAACGTCGCGTCGGGATCTTTTTGAAAACGTATCATTCCATACTGGCATCCTGTTCGTCGTGGAAGCAATCGAGCGTTGAAAGCTGCGGTAGCCATCGTACGAGTTCTTCCGCATTTTCTACTGTAAACATGTTGGAAAAAGCATACGCTGTACAATCGGAGAAGTTGGTTTAGGGCTAGGGTTAGGGAATAGGGTCTACACCCCCGCTTCAAGTTTCCTCATAAACTTACTAGTCGCGCGAAGGCGGTGCGAAATTGGTACAGGGGGTATGGTATCTTGCGTCATGTACAGCGTGATGAACAAGACGCTCTTTACAGGTCCACCTCGACATACCTCTTGAGGGCCAACATTTCACATGCTGAGGCTGCTGCCGCGGGCGCCGACTGCTTGGTGGCTCCTCCCGGGGGCACGCCATCATCACCAAGCCGCCGACGCTGGCGCTGCTGGTGTTGTGCTTGAGGGAGATGACACCGCCTCTTCTCGTACACGCAACGGCTGCCTGAATCAACGCACCGTCTACCTCCGAGCGACGCCACACATGTTTCCCAAAAGTAGAGGGGGCGCAGCAGCGCACAGGAAACCGTTGGACTGCTGTGTTACATCCTCTTGGTCTTACGTGTCATGAACCGACTGGACAGCGGGTTGCTCGATGGATGCACACCTACATCAGCCGCAGTCCTGCTGTCAAGACCACACCCAAAACGCCGCCGGATAGCCAACTTTCGGCTTCCCAGGCTCATGCCGCGAAAAAGGCACACACCTGCAAGGCACGAGGCCATCGCACTTTCGTTTCTTTCGCCCACACTCAGAGCAGCTCCTTCGCATCCCGAGCGTCACTGGCGAGGGCTCCATTCTTCCCTTCATCACCCGATAGAGCTCGCCGCCTACGCCGTGATGCCCCGTTTGAATGTGGCGGCGTGTTGCCGCACAATAATCCCCTCAACAGAAACAATCCGACCGTAGGGACAGACTAGCAGCAGGGCGGTTCTTTCCCAATGACGGCAGGTGAGCAGAGGCTTTACCGATGCCTAGATGCCACCTTTCAAGCCACCCTCTCTCTTAGATACGATGTGCAGCTTCCCTGCCCCCTGCTGCTGAACCTGCCGGCTCTTTGTTGCGGAGAATTAGACTACAGAAAATTCCGTTCGACACGCCTACTGTCATATTTCGTTCGTATCGGAATACGCCCGTTCCCTCTCTCCGGCCCTTGCGGCCCTCACTTGCTCGCCTTCCTCGATTCAAGACACCATCATCTCTGGTTGGAAACATCTGCTGTAGTGTGTGTATTGACGACGATTCTATTAAACTGCTCTTCTTGTGACTGCTGTGCTCTGCCGAAAGCACAGAGAGGGAGTTTTTGGCTGCGGAGGGAATCTCGGATTTGAGACGAATCCGGATTTCGGAACGAAATCGGGAAGAGTCAGATATCCCATGAAGCATGTTGGAAAATGACTCTTCTACCTTGTTCAGTCCCCTTTCTCTCTCCCGAAATACGCCGGAGCTATCGAGGAGACAGGAAATACTTGAGAGAGTAACAGGCCGCCTCGCAACACGCGGCGTTCCGCCGCGGCGGCTTCGGCGACTGCTTCGCGGTGGCTCTCTCGGCCCCACAGCGACTGCGCGCTCACTGGTAGGCCCGCTTTTACCTCCACTCCTCAACCTGACCGCTAGACGGCCACGTTCGTGGACGCGACCATCGCGGCCTATGCTTCGCCGTGCTACACCGCGCTGGTGCCGAGCACGGGGGGGGCTACGTTGAACCTTGGGGGGGTCCTTTGACCACAACCGCATGAGTTGAGCGATCAGGGCTCGTTGTTAAAGGACGTGCTTTTGCGTTTGGGGGGAGTGCCCAATCTGGGTGCCGCTTCTTCCAACAGCGCTGCTCACTGGGCACACGACAAACCAGAGGTGCGATGCCCGCTTCGTGCCAATGGAAAGAAAAAAAACACACACACACACACACACACACACACACACACACACACACACTCATATACAAGTTGTGTGCCAATCTTTGTGGTGCGAGTTTTCCTCCTCCACGCCCTTCGAAATACATAGACTACGCTGGTAGGTCTCGCCACACTATAGTATAACCGTTTTGTCTGCACCGCCATATCGGTGTCCGTCCCTGTGCCGCGTGCAGGATTGTGTTTGGCGGTATTCTTGAAGGTGGACACGGCAACCATGGTGGTCTTATGTGCGGGCATGCATCATTGATTTCTGCGGAACATACCTACGTTATGTATTTGCTAGTTCTCGAAAAAAAAAAAAAAAATGCACACACACGAATGTTTCGTGCTGACACCTGCACCCGTTGGTTCGCGTGCGAGTTTTCTTCGGGGTATGACGTCGTACTCCAAGTTGACGAGTCATGCCCGTGCTAGGCTGTCTGTCCGCGCGGAAACATGCGCGCGATCCAAAAGTAGTTGGGGCAAGACGGCGGCTGGGACCCTGTTACGCGGTCGGGCGACCCGTGTCGTAGTCCTCTCGTAGAACCCTACGTCATCTTTACGAGGAAGGAACAGCAGCTTTGTCAACCACCAGAGGCTATGTTGCCGCATGTTCTCTTCGATTTGTTGAGGGACATGCGCTTCTGGGCACAAACTGCATCGCCTTTGGTGGTACGCATTGAGCATACCAGGGATGTCGCTTTGTTCTCGCTGGCGTTCGCGGCCACGACGACCTCTCCTTCACGATGGGATCGCAGATTCTGCGGCTGCCAGCGGGGGAGGATCTTATCTTCAATTTCCAGTTTGGTAAGACCCCCCATGACTCCGTAGACGCCGTGGTGGCGGGCGCGGACGTTACGGGCTGCCACACTGCTACACGATGCCTTCCTCTCGGGACGGGGGATGTGTGGCACAGTTGCTGGATGGACCTGCAATCGCTGTTATCATGAAAAATTGCCGGGCGGCGTACCGATAGCGTCGCACTTGGCGCCTACTAGTGTAGGAACGGCGGGTTCCAAGACGAGGCGTAGCGAGTACTACCCTGACTAAAACACGTTGCCGATTGTCGGCCGGCCACGCATACATTCGATTTTCTACGTGTGCGTGCCGCGGAAATAAAAAAGTTTCGGTGGGGAGAGACCTACCTTAGAGGTTTGTGTGGTCAAAAGCAATATATGGCAGATCAGACAATCAACAGGAAAGTAATGGGCGGGACCACAGGCCGGTGCAGGAGGCCTCACCCAACCCAATCCAATACTTACATTGAATGATCTAGGTAAGGGACAAGAATACTATTTCTATTCATGAACTTGCTGATCATTCAAACGCTTCGGGTCTGGGCATATTGCGATCTGTATGCCCAGCCCGAAGAGTTACTTCACGGCGAGGCCCTCCTGTCGGTGCAGGAGGCCTCACCCAACCCAATCCAATACTTACATTGAATGATCTAGGTAAGGGACAAGAATACAACAGTAATCAGAGCGGCGACGCATGCAGAGGGTTGCGCAGAGCATAACAAATCTCGACATTTCATCCTTCGCGGGTTTCTGCCTCAAGTTTGGGCGGGCATTCCAGCTGTCACGTCGCAAGATTTCTTACGTGCCGCCCGATAACTGGATGTCACGACCGGGCCCTAACATTGCGACGAAGCATGGACCATCACGAGGAAACAGGTATTATGTTTGGTGACTTTTCGCTGTATTCGGTTTCATGTGCGAGGTTGGTTTCAGACTGCAACCGATCCGAAACCACCGAGTACCTTTGAGAACACCGGGCCATTGACGATTCCACAGATGAATGGGGTTCGGCCGTGGCCAGCGGCGACGCGACCAAGTTAGCGCCGGGCTGGTGCTGGTTAGGAGTGGTTCTAAGCCCCAACGGGCCCTGTTCTTTGATGGAGAAGGAAGTTGCGTTTTCGGCTCCGGCTTCTTCTCCCCTTCAATCGCCCCCGGCTACACCTGTTGTTAAGGTGTGCAGTAAATCGTGGATCGAACCTTCCTTCCTTGCGGTTTTATCCCCATGTTGCATCCCCAACCACAACCAACAAATATCCGAGCAAGAAAACACCCCCCAAAATCCCCCAAAAAACAAGCAACACCCCAAAGCCACACAATACATTCCGATTTACTGTATGCAACAACTAAGACATTTTATTGGACGAGCATTCCTACCTGTTGGAAGGTTTTGTACTATCCGTTGTGGGGAAATCGGTTGTCCCCGAAGTCGTTACGGTGGCGTCAGGTTCCTCGCCGTCCCCTGTATCCACCGGGCTCCGTGATGATGTTTGTTCCCCAAGTGCGCTGTGTACGACTAGCATTCTATTCGAGCGGACTGTTTTCGACCACACCATGTTTGGCGGCCGCACATAGAAAGACTTTACATACCACCCATGACACGACAGCAGCACTCAGTATAGGCCTACACCTCCGTGGTATTCGGCAATGGTTTTATCCAAGGAGCGCCATCCGTCGACTCCCCAAACAGGACGTTGTGGTGGGCTGAGTGAACAAGGCCGGATGGGTGGCGTAGAGTGTCATCTCGAATTTTCAAAATCACTCACGACTAAGCAACGGTATTCCGGGGGTCTGGGTGTCACGAAACGGTGGCACACGAGGAATTGGTCCGGGAACTGACCGCGTGGCTTCACGGTCATTTTCCAAGATCACGGAATACTGCTTGTGGCGGCTTATGTTCACGGTATATATCGCGACCTGGCGTCCCCAGTCGGCTTTCACCGTTTCGTGTTGCCCTCGTCATCGTTACTGTCGCAAACGGCAGCCCTTTCACAAAGATAGTTCAGCTTGGTGCTACGGCCGGGCCTCTCTACTCGCTGATCATGTGCGGAATTTCACGAAGCTCACAGCAACCATCTCCATCGACCCGACTGCAAGATTCAAACACCAACACTGCAACACACAGTTCCGACCATGCACAGGGCAGAACCGCGTGCAAATATACACACACCCGCCTCCGCACGCGCCCCACATACATGTGTTCCGAGATCGGACGGTCCCGTGTGTGCATCCATCGGTTCACTTGCCCTGTCTCGCCCAACTACACACATACACATAAGTGGGCGACGAGGCAGAAATGGCACAGACAGACGAACGTAGGAGCAACTGTTTCATCGGACATACTACCGGTATTCTGCACATCCCCTGTGTTTCGGTCCTTGGGAGGCAATCAACACCAAGACCAAATCATGATCATCTCTTCATGTGCACTCTATGGTTTTGGTGCAATGTTTGCTCGAAGGGGAAGCAACTTCGTCCTTAACATATTGTGGCGAAGATTCTGGCGCAACAGTTTGCTTCTCGTGGAAAAAGAAACAAGTAGATTCTGCTTCTGGAAGATCGGCGAAATAACTCTTACGCGATTCCCCCGAGCGATAGACTGTTTCTCTTCAAGAAGCTTGTTCGATCTCTTCTTTGTTGTTGTGTATCTCATATGCTGAGAGCGGTAAGTTGTCACTAGTGCAACGTGACGTTTCCTGGTGGGTGCACAGTCTCGTCTCACCGTTGGCCCCACCACCACTGAATATTATCTCTACAGCAGTAGTCTAATACATACAGTAGTTTTGTCGCTGAAGAGTCCGACGAGTCGGGGCTACAGCACCCCTTCCAGTCGCATCCTCGAGAATACCTTTGAATGCAACAGGCCAAAAGTGTTGACACTGTTCGTGCCTCAGCTCGATCATGGCATGCGCCGGCACTTGTATATTCCGTGAAGCCCTTGCGAGTATGATTGACGTTCTGTTGATAATTAGACTACCTCGATATAGTGTGTGACTTGAGCGACCTCTGTTTGACCTCTGTTCCGGTTGTGTGACGACCTTCGAACACAGTTTCAAGTTATTATATTGATAAGCGATATTGTGGGATCTTGACGTTCTGCACGTTTCACCACGGTTTTTGTACACTGCAGGACTCACGCACAACCCGTGCTTGAGCTCCCTTATCGTTGCTCTGAACGAGACGTGCGACGGGACGAGTTGGTACACGTCGACCAAGGAGCTACAGCGAGCGTCCTTGGAGTTCTGCATCGCGTGCAGAAACTACCCGATCATGCACTTGAAAGTCGACCCACAAATCCCACGCAATCTGCTGGCCGCTGCAGATGCGCCACCCCCACACCCGAAGCGGCTATGTTGGACACGCGTGCCACGGCTAAGGGCGCGCAGCGTGACGTGGAACATGAGGGCAGCAGCGGAATTAGGAAATCCAATATTCGCAATCACGGACGTTGACTGCCTGGAGTTCGGCGGTACCTTCGATGGCAGCCTTGAGGCTGTGACATGGCCGCGACGGCTGAAAATGATCGAGTTCCTCTATACTTCACCGTTCAACCAGCCTCTGGAACTTATAAAATGGCCAGAATCTTTGCAGCACCTTGTTCTCGGAGGCGACTTTAACCATTCCATTAATGATGTCGAGTGGCCGCCATCCTTGCACGAGCTAGGTTTCGGATATAGCTTCAACCAGCCGATCGACCGGACCGGACTTCCGCCGCCCCTGCAGAAGATAAGTTTTGCTAAATAGCCATTCGCGTTTCAACCAATCCATAAAGCATGTGGCGTGGCCGACGTCCTTGCGGCACCTCACGTTTGGCGAGGCCTTCGACCAGCCGATTGAGGACGTTTTATGGCCGGATTCGCTTCAGAGGCTCGCTTTCGGATTAGCATTCAACAGGCCAGTTGACAACGTGAGGTGGCCGGCGTCCTTGGAAGAGCTTATGTTTGGATTGCGCGATGGTGCAGGGGACAATCAGGATACGATTTACTCGGAGTTCAGTCAGCGTATTGGCAGCAGCATTTGGCCTGCGTCGATGCGGCGACTTACACTAGGCCCCGGGTTTAGGCAGTTATTGCAAGGCCTGGGCACTTGGATGCCCGACCTCGAGACATTTAGTCTTCTAGAGTACGGCTTTGTTTCAGGTGACGACCGCCTTCTCCGCGGAATCGAATGGCCTAAAGGTCTTCGCCAGCTGGCCGTGTGTAAGGGCTCCAGTTTTGACGGGGTCATCGTTCCTTCCACTGTACAGGTCTTGCACCTTCACATCACTTAATATTTAGGGGTTGCAACGGTGAAACGTGATAATGCAAGCAACGCCCAGGTTGCGACACTCCACCCTGCGCCTGTTGCTGGAAACAGCTGGCCGGAAGGCGTATTTAGAAGCGTGCTATCTTTGTGTCGGGTGCTGCTCCTTGTGCTGTTCCCCCTGCTCAATGGTGAGCAAAACCTGAAACACTTCTAAATTCCATTGTCGAGAACCCCGCGAATGGGCGGCATGGGGAGGCTCACCTGTTCTTCGGATCAGGAACGCTACCAAATAGATTCCTCTCACTGCCATCATCGTCTGAATCCTGCTGTTAGTATGTTAAGCCTTCAGACGAAGCAAGGCTGTTTTGTCGTCAAACTTCCCCATGCAAAAGGCTTCGTATGGCGATAGCTACGATTAGTTGGTTGGTGCCAAGACCACCATACGTTGAAAAAGCAGCCGTAAGGAGGGTAGATCTAGACGGGTTGAAAGTTCCCGCATAGATAGCTCGTCTCGAAAGAGGATTGAGGTTGTACGTTCCGCCTTCGTTCCAGCAGTTTCGAAGTGGTCGACAGTGACAAGCACAAAATCACTCTCGAGGATTGATTACGGGGTGATGCTGTTGAATTTGAGTATTCAAGACTACTGGAAAAATCACGAACTGTCCTGACTGTATTTCTATTGCGATTTCGTAGCGCAGCAATTTACCTTCCCGATTTCTATACGCCCAAGTAGTAGAAATGCGGCATAAATCGGTACTTCACTGATAGTACTTGCAAACACCAAGTATGTAGTCAAGAAAAGTTGTCGTAAGGAGCGTTCACAACCGTCTACATGCATGTTTCAGACCGCATAACGATTCTTTGCGTGTTTTTCAAAACATGCGGGTTATTGTTGTACGAAGGCAAATTTGCCGGAAAATTCCAGGAACGTAGGAACGGTTCCGGCAATGGTTCCGGAGTAGCAGTACGGAGAATGGTACTAGTACAGGTACCAGGAATGGTGTGTAGGTTGCCGGAACGCTTCCGGACTATGTAGTTATTGTGGTGACAATCCCCCCATGTTCCGTGGTGAGACGTGTACTCCCTTACATCTCCCAAACCTCAAAATTCATTGGTGCAATTTACGCCAAGGTACTGCGGTTCCATTTCCTCTGATGGTGGGCAGACACAGGGCCACAAAGTAAGTCTTCCGCGAACCGTAAGCTTCCTAACCACTAATACTCGTAGCTTCGTGGTTTTGCTACGTGAGCTGAGATGTTCGGAGTTTCCTCCCACAGATGACCACGTACAGTAAGCAAGGGTGTCTACCTCGAAAGATGCTTCTCATTTAAAACACAGGAAGGAGTGGAACCCACTGGTCGCGTCGTGAAATCTGTGCGGCAAATTCTCTTTGAGCTACTGTAGAGAGCCCTCCTGTCCTATTGAGCCTGGATCGGGATGCTGTTGCTGACGGATAGCGCCTTCTTCGCCCTTACCGTAACCCGGATCATAACGGGTTTAGTAGGTTTCTCTAACATGAGCAACGGTGGATTCATTCGACCCTTGGGATCTGGGTGTCGCGGATGTCTCCTCGGTCGCGGGGGCAGCATTATTCGGCGCACAGACCATGTGCGCGGGTGCTCGTGTGATACAAATGTCACGATATTTACTGACAATCTCACGAGCACCATACCAAGGCGGTTAAAAACAAATCCCGTATTCAACGAAGGCTGAATTTCTGTCTTTTCTGTCTACGTTCTCGGCCGATGACCGTAGCAAAAATTCTTGTGCTCGGTTTCATCAAAGCTTGGTTTGAAGTTGAAATCTGCTGGCGAATACTGTAGTGCAGTAGCTGCGACTTTACGCCCTTCGTTGTCGAGAGCTTTGCCCATCGTTTCCATTGGTACGGTTGTCATTTGGAACTGTATTTTTAGCTCAGAGTTCGCCTTTTCTCCAAGGTGTTCGATCACGTAGCGACAACGGGTTCGCAATGCGAATATATTTTTTCTCTAGACGGGCCCGTTTCATAGGCTTTAGCTGTTGACCCCTGCCCAAACGCCCTATGACAAGAGCCCCCTGGAGGCAAACTCACGACATTGACCAAGGGTCTTCGTGACATACATGTACATCATGTTCAGCACCCTAGATCGCCCAGGTGGTCATGTTGGTATCCTCGAAAACCTTCCATATAACGGCCAGAGTGAAGGGTGGTTCGAGTCCGGGCATTTGCGAGTTATTCTTGCAAAGGTTTTTTTTCTCTCTCTTCCGTTCGAGGCGCACATGTAGGTGGAAAGCGATACTGTCGTTCGTGTGTAGGGAGAGGGAAGAGAGTGCTGCACTCTTCTCAAATCGAAGGAAAATTACCGCGGCGGGGTTGGGTATGGGGCCTGGGGGAGAAGAACCCTGCTGTGTGTCCACGTGTTGGAATAAATTCACAAGTGCTGTGAGCGCTGACTTGAGGTGAAGACCAAAAACCTAAAACAGATCACACATTCTCCGACACTGGACGGGTTTCCCCGGTCAAAACCGGTGCAAATGTCAGTGTTTTCGAGCGATGCAGAGTCTAATGACGGGTGCTGGTCATATGCATACTTCGCCGCTACCCGCCTAGACTATTCTCTGAGCTCTACTCGGGCAGCTGGTCCAGATCCATGGATCGAATCTTCACGTCGAGACTACTGCACACAGCACGCGCTTCCTGGAAGACCCTGGGCCCACGAAGATTATCCTCAGGCTCCAGTGTTAGTTTTCTACGCCCGCAGCGAGCCGCCGAACCCACCAACACAGCAGCAGCGGTTGACGTGGAACGTCATGAGTTCATCCGCAGAACCCTCGCCGGGCCTCCAGTCTCCAGTCCCGAGCGGTTTGCGGGCCCCCTTTCACTCTTGTTCAAGTCTTCTTGCAACTGCCGTTGTGTTGTGCCAAACGATTTGTCCAAATCAACCGCGGTCGAGCTGGTCGAGGACGAGGAGGTGGGCAAGGGAGAGGAGGGCAAGCGGGAAAATTAGCAGCTGGAATTACGAGAGGTGAGGTTGACCTTTAGCGTCTAGCCACGCTCTCAAGTGGTAGCGGTCAAGTTGCATGCACGCCTTGTTGTGTCCACCGCTGCGAATACGGCGCTAAAAACAACAACAACAACAACAACAACAACAACAACAATCAAGTTGTACCCTCCTTGTTATGTACACGGGTTAGTTGACGGAGTTGTTAAAAAGTCAAGATTGTCTTGCCTCACTCTTGCCGAAGCGACCGTGTGCCAATCTCCCGCACTACTGGCCAATTTGTTAACCTCCCAAAGCAGAAGAAGTAATATTAATAGTCTAACCCAGTCCCTCCGCAAAAAAAAAATGACCAATAATCAGGAACGGGTACACCCGGGTACTTTTTCCCCACTTTAGGGTACACGTAGAAATCAACACGCTTGCACCCCCAGGCTGTCAGCTGATTGGCCGAAAAAACATCGTACCCATTTCGGAAGAAACCTCCATCGGGTACAACTAGCTACCGCTGGCATTAGGACCCTCTGGTGTGACCGATATTGGTTACTGGTGTACCCGGAAGAGGTCGATTTTGTACCCAGAAATGGTCAGATAATCCCGGCGCCCGACACTCTAGCATAAAACCCGCAGAAAAAACTGTGTACCGCACATACCGTGTACCGCACATACATACCCACAACCAAACCACCAACAACGCTCGCTCGGTGGTGGGCACCGCCTCCATAGGATACCGGCCCCTCTGGACAGAGGGTCGGACTCGCTTAACGCGCTAGTTCGTTCGGTGTGGTGCTGATAGTAGAAGCACAGAGAGAGAGAGACACACAGAGCGAGAGAAAAACGGGCACGACCTGCCTCGTGCATCATGCTTCCGAGGCACAGGACACAGACAGCGGTTTATTGGTTTCGCCGCGATCTACGGCGGATGCTGTCGGAGATTGGTGTCGTGTTGATTTCCAAGTGTACCTTGAAATGGTGATAGTCTTCCGTATATACCCGTTTCTGGTTACTTCTACAAACGAATACCGCATACGTTTTTCAACCATTCGTCGAGGGGCTTACAGTCCCTCCAAAGAAACTGAGCTCTTTACCAGACAAAGGGTGACTTGGCTTCAGTATGAAAAGTGCCCCCAGAACACGTGGGGACAACTTTCATACTGAGTTGAAGTCAGCAATTTTGCCAGTACCACGCGATGTACAAGTACAGCAGTTTTACGATCTAGGGGGCACGTGGGTTGGGAGATGTGCACAGCAAGGCAGCGGCCCAGGAGAGGCATCACAAAGAATGTCACACAGCTCACCACCTCAGCGAGCATGATAGACCAAGGTGTCTTACGTGCGTGGCGTGCGTGGCACAAAGCTGAGGCTAGGTGCGGTAACCAGGGGTCTGAGTGCTGTGTTCCCAAAGTGTCCCCATTTGGCTTCCAGTACTACTTGTAGGCGGGTTTAACCGCCAATGGACGGGCCCATGGGCGGCCCATGAACTGCCTACGAAGTGCCTACCGTGGGCACTTCAACCTAGAA